AGCATATATGAGGATGGAACTATTCCCAAGGTTACTGGTCATCCGTCCGCCAACAAGTGGCTTTCGTCCCATACGACCAGTACACCGGTGAAGGAACTGCGTGCGGGAACCATTCCTCCTGCCGTGGCCTTCATTCTCGTTCTCGTCTCTGCAATCTTTGGGATCTCCGCCCGTCACCTTTCGTCATGATTTAGGTCTACACTAGCACATCACTCTTTTTTTCATCATCTCCCCCAGTCGATCTTGACCATACCGAATGCATTTCTACGATCCGACGACTTTTTCACTGCAACGAGGGACACATGAATGACGGACACATTTGCCCCGTCGCGTAAGTCGGTCTTTGTCGCACCTGCCCAACCTCCTGCTGACCGCAACCACCAACAGCGTCTGATGAATTTCAGCCGACAGGCTTTGTCACGCGAAGACACGTTTCCAGCCTGGAAGGTGATAGTGAGATCAACTTGTTGACGCGCGAAGCATTTGTGAAGGAGTTACTATTACACAACAAGTGGGTGGACTTGATCAAATTGAATGGAATGGACAGGATTTGGAAGCTTCTCTGCTGTTGAGTTATAGAAATTACACCAGAAGACTCTTACCCACGGAACATGCCCCTCCGTTTAATGTTACCCAGTGTTCCATCTCCTCGTTCTCGGCCTGTCAAACGCCGCCCGCTGTCAAACATAGGATCGGATTTCGTTTAACCATGTTAGTTTAGAGGCGACGAACTTCTCCCGACTTTGTTTCTCTCAGCCTCCCGATTTTGCCGGTGTGCATGTTTCCAATCGTATCTGGTGGGGAAGATACGTAAGCTGAGAATTGTATGACGAGCCATGCCGTTCACCAAGTCTACGTGGCATCCTAGCAGAATCGAGCCTTGTAGTTCGGCTATTCATTCTACTGTGCCGTGATCGTAGCACGGTGCTCGACCTTTTTAGGGTTTTCGAATTCCACATGGCAGGCAGCTCAACCTTGCGATGTACGAGCTCTATCAGGAGTCCTCACCTCTTCAGAGGCTGCGTGAGACAACATCCGTCTAGAATGGCAGCTAGGCGGGCGAAGTCCAATATATACTGCCAGCGTACACCAAGGTTACCTGTGGGCTCAAGATGTCACCGACCGTTGCCAAGGGTTTCATAAAGACCTGCCCCTTGCCCACCTTCCCGCCATGGGGTGACGGGGCCAAACTGAAAGCCTTTGTAAGCGAACTTTCAGAAGAGGAATTGCTTTCAGCATCACAGCAGCATCGTCTTTGTTCTTAGGAATGAGTTACGAAGTAATTTGACCCGGATTAGTCCACCTCTGGAGCCGACGCTCAAAGGGCTCAAAGGTGTCTACGTCTTGTTGTGACATGAAGGAAGGGCAAAGAAGCGACGTAGGAAATCACCTCCCAATGGGCCTTGGGAAGAGGACTGTGGGCATTGGGAGTGTAAAGAAGTTCGGCGTGGGGGCGAAGAGCGGCTGGCGCGAGCGCAGTGACAGACGATGCAGGAGGAGGACGGGGGTTTCCAGATGGAAAGTTGTCTGCGAGAGGGAACAACTGGCTGGATGCTGTGAAGGAGGCTCTATTGCTTGTGATCACAGGTGACATACGTGTGAGAATCTAGCCATAGAAGCCGGCAATTGATAATCGCCGGAGCCACGCGCACCAGAGTCTTCACCTGCCTCTCCCGAGGAGGGGAAGCCCAGAGTCATTGCCTGTGAAAGTCAGCTTGACTCAACTGCAATTAATCCGTCCGGCACATTTTGTAAGCACTGAAGCCATCTCGAGGACAGCCAGATCTCATTACTTGGAAGGCCATGGCAGGTTGACACTTCGGCGTTGCGAGCTTTGCGAATCAAGGAAACGAGAAGGCATCTCACTCCATGCACGAGTTCAGAGATGCCCGTTGGTTAAAAGCTGTTTGATGTTGAAGCATAAATAGAACTGTTAATGACCCTCTTGCCAGGTCATCCGCACCATCGTCTTCAACGGCTTTCGGTCTCTGTGTCGGTCCGGTACTTCGATTCCAGTAGGCAAAAAACACTTCCTATAACATAACATCGTGGGACACACAAAATATTTGACCAGAAGTTTCGGGGCTGGTGCTTTGTGGATAGATGTCTTCGGAAAAGTGCCCTTCGTGGCTGATTCGGAGTATTGATTCGACGACATCGAGATGTCGGCTTCCCGTTTCGGAAAGGCTGCACCTGCGGCGTGCTGTCTTGTCAGAGGACATTCTTGATGCATAGGCGCATGTACTCACGTGGTAAAGTTGCTTGTTTCGGTCTCCAGCATGGTTTCTCCGTGAAGATGATATGAATGGGTCGAGGTGATGGTGTCTGTGGAGTTTCGTTGATGCGGCTGTTATCGTGGTTGCAGGGTTTGTTCCCTCAAGAAAAGAGGAGAGACAACCGTACAAAGATGCTGTGTACTTGGGGTTTCACAAGTTTGGTTCTAGAATGTTTTGAGTGATTTATGGCCTACGTTAAAGGCATATTTCTCGTCGTGTGAGGAAGACCGAATCCAGGGTATCGATATCTTCCACAAGAGGCCTCCGGTGTTAACGATTGTCGGAAGATGCGCCAGAGTGCGACATCCGTGGGAAGGATCTGCTCACGGGAAACATCGGAGTTACATGGTTTGGGTTTTGGGGAGGAGGATATCTTCGAAGTCCTGTAGACAGCCGCAGAGCCCTCAAAATATGTCTCATATCTTGGCAAATTTTGACCTAAACCGAATCACTCTGTTGTATGGAAACTCTCATGTTCGCGCTTTAGAATATGAAAACGTCGTGGTCTCATGATTGGTAGATCCCCTACCTGCGCACCACCGGAAGTACCGTTATTGTATGTGCTAATTCAACCATCAAGTACGTGCTCGAAAGACGTCTCAAGCCTTGTTGGTTGTTGGCACATGAAACAAAACCCGGACATGCTTTGCGCACTGCTTTCCTCGCTTGATTAGATATTGAAAATGATCGTGTCACCTTTGCGACCACAGAAGAAGACAACTAATCTTGTCGCTGCCTTTCAAACAATCAATGCTATCTTTTGTACGCTAATAAAATGCCATCGTGCTCGAGTCAATATTCAGTGCTGCGCTGCTTTCTTGGGCTTGAGGCGATTCTTCCTGTTGGATTGGCCAGATCAGGCTATGCTGACATGCCTTGATTTTCGGAATGGCCCTCTTTCATCATGACCATTTGCAGCTTGCTCTCCTCTGCTGCTGGTCGCTGCTTCAATGACGTCGACCTTGTCATTGATTTTGAGTCCGGCTGGGAGTGCAAAGCTCGTTACCCTGCTAGGGATCTACTTGTCATTCTCCTCAGTGTGCATCGAAATCAAGCCGATATCTTGATAGCAGATAAAAGATCACTTCCTAATGCCACTTTCATACGCCAGGACGAACATAGACCAATCCAACTTGCCAGGGTGTTCAAGATATGAGTCTTGAAAGATATTAATCAGGTATTCACGCTTTCATAGTGTGTAGTGCATTTTATTGCAAGGAGTCCAGGCTGAACTGCGTGTTTATGCGCTTTCTCGTGGCCTGTGAACATATCTTCATAAAGTTGAAGGAGCTTGTACTAACCTTTTCCTATTCTGCTTGTCCTTGTGCACGTCCATACTGTAAGCCTTAGCTAACAAGAGTAACTGAAATAGTACTTGTAGGTAATTAATTTGTTTTCCTCCAGCTGTTGTCAGTATGTCTTCGACTTTCTCAATTCTGCTCCTACTCGTAAGATAGGAAATGCTCACTCTTAATTTGAAGCCTGCAAGCAGGGCGTTTTTAACATCGCAAAAACTCTCACTTCGGTTGAATTTATATGCTAAGCAAGTGTTTTCGGGATCTACTGCTTGAATTCAATTTACCTCTTGCTCCTAGCATGTGGTACTATGCGTTTATGGAAACAGGAGAGGGGCCTGAAACCATTCGACTGAATGCTGAAAATAACATAATCGCTATGTCTCTCAAAACGAAAGTCGGTCCTCACTATTGCACTGAAGAAAATGAAGTTACTATCATCAGTAATTCTTGGATCTATTGATCTCCACATCTTGGCTTGAAAACAGCGTTCCACCATGCTGATTTAAGGGATCACACAGTGCGTCGCTCGTATGGTGTCAGTAAAAGCTGAGAAATGCCTTCGTGAAACATCTCCTGAATAATTGACTGAGATATATCTTGCAGGTAGTCCTGTTCGATCGGCTCGACAATAGGCCTCTTAGAACTGCCTGGGAGAAGTCTATACATAGTCAAGGGACTGCAGTCTGATAGTTTGACCGTTGTTGTAGTCCTAAGTGTCGCGTCTGAATGCTTCATGAAGCCTAGAACAGATGAGGGACATAGATCGACGTGGCTGAATGCCGCCGCAACAGTGTTGATGTATTGATTCCGTGGAGAATCATTCATGATAGTCGGAAAACTGCTCAGCGACTCTCACAATGTCCCAGCACTGACCGGTCGAAATCCAAACAGACATCCTTAGATTCCAAAAAGAATATTCTATCGACAAAGATATAAATGTTGACAGCGAGGCGGCTAGTTATAAAAACAATTCATCGTCATGACAAACGCGACGATACCCAATCCGGGTCTGTGGCTGTGATTGTAACTGTGGACATGCCCTTTGGTCCACCGGCACAGCGTCCGAACCGGGCCCTACTCAAGACATGCGGAGGTCTTGACCCAAAGGAGCAGGTTTTATCTGCATGGGATGAAAATTATGGTCCGCAATGGCCTCCAACTGGCTCTTACTGTAATTCACAAACCCGCATGAACGTTGGGCGAACATGTGGCGTTTCGCCTACTATTATTGGATCTTTATTGGATTTTTATGTTGTGTAATGGTCTCTTTATGAATAAGGAGATCAGGGCCGTTGCAAAGCTCAAGGATGTCGAGGGTTCTATCTAGGCGAAAGTGGCAATTCCACAGGTCACACCCGTTGCCCATACCCCGACAACATGCTCATGTCCGAAGTAGCCTTACAACAACTGACGAAGCTCAATATATCTACAGATTTGCCCTCAACTGAGTCGCAGGGGTGTGCTCGCCTGATACGTAACGCTCAACAAGGTTGACCACCTCGTTTGCAAGCCCGAAGCTAAAGATATAGCCACCACCTTGAGGGCCGTATGCATGCACCACCTGTTGACCTCTGACGACTGCTTGCTCGACCCTGGTGCCGGTCTTTCTCTGAGGGCGGATGCCAACAATATCTCGCAAAATGCTGGCTCTGGCACGTTCTGGAGGAGGGAAGTCCTTGGGCAAGTTTTCATGTACTCTCTGTAGAATCTACAACTTGTTAGCGAGCCTTGCTAACCACAGAGTTCTTTCCTCTACTCACGTTTGTGCGCAGAGCGTCGTCGACCTTGGTGTTAACGCTGTCGAAGGTTTTCAAGCCTCCCAATATGGCAGTGCCGTCAGGTCTTCCCAGCGCATATGTATAATCTTTGCCTCGACGGATCCAGATCTTATTGAAGTCCGACTTGACGAGTATTGTCTGGCCTCGAACTTCTTGCATGTCGATATCTGCCACGTCTGTGAGATATCGGGCTCCCACACCCGTGCAGTTGATTAAGAGATCGTGACCCATTCCGCGGAGATCAGAAAGCGAGTTGACGTTAAGGCGCTGAAAGTTGACACCCGTCGCTTCTAAGCGCTTTCTGGCCCATGCAAGATAGATTGACGGCGTGATAATGATGGATTTGTACGCCATGCCAAATGAGGCACCGCTGGGCAGCTCATCTTTCGACAAGACTCTGTAGTCAGGCAGCTGGTTGGCGTACCAAACTTGGTCTTCAGATGAACCATCGACGACGTCATACATGTCAACTCTTCGGACACTGGACTCTGGATGCTCCAGAGCCAGCTTCCACCATGTCCAGAAGGCATCCAGCTGCATCTTTTGTTCCCGCGGTGTGGAGGGAATCATGCCCATGAACACAGCGCCTGCCCAAGGGCTGGCCCACTCCTGCGATTCCGGGTCATTGGGAAGGTTGCGGGCAACAATCGTCACGTCGTAACCCCTGGGTAGCTGACTCGCGATTGTGAGGCCGGTGATTCTGTGGTTTTACTCGTCAACCCGTGATCGAAGTGCTGTCGCGCAAAGGGGTGAAATCCTACCCGGCACCTAGAATGGTTATGTTTGGCATTTTTGTTTTAGGCTGAAGACTACCTTAAGCTTAAAGATTGAGTCGTTTGTCTCTCACAGTGGCAATCATCCCAGCTTATCATGTTCAGTTCGCACTCTTGTGCCAATATATAGTCTGCAAGTCAATTTCTCACCCATTTTCCGGAAATCGGGCGGACCCCGGATAGACGCCGGCCTCGTTAGCCGATACCTATCGATAGAACTCGTTTGCGATGTACTCAATTGAGGTTAGCCTTTGTAGTGGGGAACTGAGATGAGCGGCATGAATTGTGGATTGCTGCTCGTCTATTTCATCCTTGAAGCGGTTAGGCTGTCACCGCTCCAGGGAATCTGTAATTGGTGCTAAGAAAGAATAGCCCAATCAAAAGAAATCATACATTTGCTGACGACAGTTCATCTAGGGCGACAGGGGTACTTGTACCAACGCTTATCAGAATGAAGATCTACAATGGCTGATGCGGGGAGATGTACTAGGTTCAGAATCGTGTGCATCGAAGTGATTGGGAAGCTGGAACAAACTAGCGATGCCTCAAACTCCGCGCACGATTGGGCCGCGCACGAGATGCATTATCCGATTAAGAATAGGAGCCAAAAATAAGACTCAAGTTCTGCGTTATCTTCTTTTCTATCTCTCAGTCTATCTCTTCGTGCAGGGAGAGCTGGGCCGGCTCTTCGGTGACCTTGCCTCATGGCTTGTTGTGATTTGGGAATGGATTCGATATAAGTTTGCCATTTCGTTTCTTGGACGGGCAATCGTTCCACCTACAGCGCAATCGACCTTTATTCCTTTTTGAACGATAGAATCAATATTGCAACAGCCTCGACGAGCATGAATACAAAAACAGCCATCGCATCCGAAGATGGGTCGCTCCACGGCCACTCTTCTGCCGAGGGCATGGTCTCGTCCGAGTACAAACGCTTTTGTCGTCTGCGTGAGTCATTCACTGAGGAAAAGCAGACCTCGCTTATTCGAAAAGTTGAGTAAGTGTTCGTCAAAGTGGCAACGTCACTGTTCATTTACTCGTTCTAGTTTCCGCATCCTGCCTCCTCTAGTGCTGGTATATCTACTGGCTTACATCGACCGCTCTAATGCAGGTATGATACAGCATACCTTACAGTGCAAACTCATATCCCCTTATGTGACTGGCTGACCAAATTTCTTTGCAGGCAATGCCAAATTATTTGGTGCTTTGGAAGACCTCGGCCTAAGTGGAGAGCAATGGAACGTGTCTCTGGCCGTCTTCTTCATCACATACGCGGCCGGTGGCGTGTAAGTATTGAGCTGTGCAGCGGTCTTCACACTGTCAGTTGCTGACCTGGAGCTAGTCCGTCAAACATTATACTCAAGCGTATCGGCCCACGTTTCTGGCTCCCCTCACTGCTCATCGGATGCGGATCGACCATTGTCTGTTCTGGCGTTCAAAGCACGCATGCTGGATGGATAGCTTTCAGATTGATCCTCGGCATTATCGAAGCCGGCATATACCCCGGTTGCTCTTTCATTCTCACCTCGTGGTATAGCCCCGAAGAACTGCATTCGAGAATGACTTTCTTTTACTCGGCTGCTTCCATTGCAGGCGCTTTCTCTGGACTTCTTGCTTTTGCCATTGGCCGCCTGGACAGCACCTGGGGCTACCGGGGCTGGCGCTGGATCTACGTCTTGGAGGGAGCCTTCAGTGTCATTGTGGGCGTTGCGTGCTTCTGGCTGATTGAGCCTGTGCCGGGAAAGGTTACAAGCTGGTTAACAGACGAGGAACGCGAGTATCTCGTGCTCCGAAACCGATTCGCCGCAGGTGGAGAGAGCGGTGTCAAGGAGCGAGAGGATTTCAACATGGCCGACGTTAAGAAGGCGTTCCGCTCCATTCACACCTATTCTGTGGCGTTAACGGAGTTCACTGTGGCTGTTGTTGTGTACGGAATCAGCTTCGTCCTGCCCAGCATCGTTCAGAGCCTGGGCTATTCGAACGTCAAGGCTCAGGCAATGACTGCTCCGCCATACATCTTCGCCTGCGTTGTCACCGTCATCTCTGGCCTGGCAGCCGATCGCTACCGCCAGCGGGCACTGTCAATCATGCTTCCAAACGCAATGGCTGTCATTGGATTCATCATCATTACAATCACAATCCGCTACCATCAGATTCCCGGAGTAACATACTTTGGCATTTTTCTAATGGCTGGCGGTTTGTATCCCATCTCACCTGCCGTCATGGCTTGGGTGGCTCTGAACATGGCTGGTTCCATGAAACGTGCGGCTGGGCTTGGACTAATGATGTCCTTGGCCCAGCTCGGGGGCGTACGTTCTGACCCGGACCCCTGACCACGTAAAACGCTTTGCTGACTCTAAGACCCTTAGATTGTGGGATCTAACATTTTTCTGCCCGATGAAGCACCCGTGTACCCTACTGGATTCGGAATGTGCATTGCCATGTTGACAGCGTTCGGCGTCATCTGGCCCGGCATCTACTACCTGATCCTGAAGAGGATCAACTCCAGAAGGGCAGCCTTTTCGACCGAGGAGGTAATGGCAAAGTATACGCCGGAGCAATTGACCGACATGGGCGACGAGAGTCCTCTCTTTCGCTATGCTCTTTAGCTATGTAGCTGAGGCGTTTCTGGCGGGTTGTACGCGCACTCAAATGTCGCTTTTGCCCAGGAATTACTATCCTCAGTTCATACTTGTCTGTATAGGTCTACCTTTTGATTGTCGGTGTTCCATCAAGATATCCCGTCAGGTGTGAAGAAGCAGGCCCGAAGTACCAGTACGTCATGCTTGAAAGGATATGAAGCTTGCTTTTGAAGGATGGAACCTGTCAGAATAATCGACCGCCCAGTCAGGAAGCCGTCAAATCTTAGTCCAGAACCAGTTAATCAAGCAAAATATTACTTTGGACGCAAACATTCATAAGCCAGATTGGAATTCGCTCAGTTGCTTACCCCGCGATCTTGCCAAGCCTGGTCTCCCGGGGCCGCTTATCAGCTCCCGATCAGTCCCCGCTGATAAGCATATTCGTCCCCTTATTCTGCATGATAAGCATCCTTCATCCCCTTTGCTGATGCGGTTTGATTCTCGAAAATCAATTGATCTAGCTTAGGCGTGTCTCCCTTGCGTCTTTCATCATTAGCGAACATGATGCAAACAAATATCCCAAACTCTAGGTCGCGCAGACCAACAACACGCACAACTACAGGCTGCCAAACTTGTCGACGGCGACGTATAAAGTGTGACGGTACGTCGTGAACACCTCAAACGAGGATCGATAACGAGATTGATAATGATAATCCTCAGAGGTAAAGCCGTCTTGCCAAAGATGCCAGCGTGCGGCCATCGACTGCTCCTACAAGCCTCAGCTGAAATGGCCACGACAAGGTGCAAGGATGGGCAACAACCGCTCCCGACGGCACCGAGCACGGGTCGATGCGTCAACTCAAATGGCTTGTTCCCCCTTGAGCAAGGAAACGAGGTTGGAGACTTTCTCGGTAGACCGGCTCGAGGAGCCCATTCATGCAATGTTCGTGTCCGCAGCTTCGTGCACCAGCGGACCCGACGACAACCACGACTTTGTACCCTGGATGGATCTTGGAATGAATCATTTGTCGACAGACAGTAATTCATCACTCGTGTTGATACCATCTGACACATTCTCTCTGTCCATCTCATCGCTTGGCGACCCATATCAGCTTCCGAACATGGAACGCGAGGACAGCATGCTTTTTCACTATTGTAAGACCTACATAGGACGCATATGTTGTCTAACACTAATTGGTGATGACATCTAGATGTTGCCGAAATGTGTCCTCAATGCATCGTCAGGAATGGTTACAACAAAAGTTATCGCCAGGTCATTCTCCCGCTGGTCAACAACTCCAACATCCTACTGAGAGCCATTTTGGCCTTCACGGCTAACCGCATCAAACTGCTAGATGAACGCTTCCAGACTATTGCCCTTCGTCACCGGGCAGCAGTGCTACAAGGCTTGCAACAGTCACTCAACAACAAGAAGCGGACATCCTTCTCAAGACTGGAAATACTCAGCACGATCCTCATGCTATGTTTCTTTGAGATTTACAATCCACGACAAACGCCTAAAGACCCGCATGGCTTGCCCACAAGACCTTGGATGACGCATGCAGCGGGCGTCCGCAGGTTGTTGGAGTTGGGCCCGCTAGAGTCCCATGACTCTCACTACGAGAAAGCTGTCGTCTCTTTTCTCAGCCAGTATTTTGCTTCGCACAGCGTCCTCGCCTTTACATCCTTGTCGCCATTAGAGGATCAGATCGAGATTTTTGACCATGCTCATTTCTGGCTGGACCTGGCTGACAGGCCACCCGAGGAGATCAATCCGTTTGCTGGATGCTCCAATGAACTGCTCAAATCGATTTTGGTCATTACATCGCGAATGAGACAAGTTGCACAATCGCGGTCGCAACTACTATCAAGTCTACAACAGACTTGGGCCGGCATGATGGCAAAGCGCCTTTTCGCCATGGACCAACTTCCACCCGCTGACCGCATAGACGGCGTTGCAAGCGCGGAATTGCCAAGCCGGCACGCGGATCCGACGCCGACAACTATTCTAGGAAAGACGTCCGAAGCCTTCCGTTTGGCCGCTGTGGTACTGCTGGGGAGTTTGTATCCTCAGATAGATATCACAGCTCACGAGCAAACTGAAAGGTGTCTGGATCGGCTAGGTGAGATTTTAAGCTCTGGCGTTGCAGTCCCCCAACACGGCGCACTTGGGGCTTCCAGCTACCTTTGGCCGTATTTTGTCGCGGGATGCCACTTGCAAACCCTGGATCAGAAAGCTTCACTATCACGGCGGATCAGGCCGCTGTTTTCACAAAATTGGCCTAGTGACACAGCGTCGGGTCAGATTCTTTGCGTGCTCGAGGAGGTGTGGTCCCTCCCGGTTGGCCACAGGGCTGCAATATGCACCGACAGGAATAGCTTCTTGTGGAAGAGCGCCAAGTTGAACAGACACCAAGTGCTTGAATGGGTGTGATGGGAATGCACAATGCGATTATGTTGGCACTTTATTACGTGATAGGTTTGATATTGAGGAACTAGTCGATGCCACGCTTGCTGCCCTTACGGCCAAATACACTATCTTTGGCGCCTCTGAACCTTGACCCAAGTGTGTATCACGACTCCTCTGAGCTTAAAGGGGAAGAAGAGAGGGAAATAACTCATAAGGATTCCAGATCGCTCGTCAGACTCATGGCATACCCAATCATGCAACCTCAAGACGCCCAGTGGCTCGCATCATCCGGTTCATTTCGCCGGTGGAGGAGCTGGCTGCCAAGCCAAGGTAAAATTGCATTGATTGGCTAGGCCGATGACTTCTGCCTCGCTCATGAAAGGGAACAACCTGGCAACAGGCCCCAGCGTCCCTTGGCGGCATTCTCATCTTCTCGGCCACATCTGCAAGCCGAGCGGGGAGACAGAGGATGGACCCACAACCCTCATCCAGCTCGTTTGAAACAGACCAAAAGCAGTAAAGCGCAAAGAGTTCTTATCTTGCTATGCTACGTTGGTCCAGTCTGCATATACTGCATGTGACTGGCATGCCGACCCCATCACTTTAGACCTCGTCAATTTCATACCCATTTGAGTTTAGAGTGAAGGCCCTAGGTGTGTCGCAACTTGGTCCCCTGCACTACGATGATCGATGATATTGTCTGCAGTTGCCAACTGGAACAATATTCTCGAGGGACAGACTGCAATTGACACAACTGTTCGCACTTTAACTCTATGTCCTTTGATACAATGACATCGTCTGTCCCCAAAAAGAAGGTCATCATCATTGGTGCCGGCGCATTCGGCCTGTCGACCGCTCTGCATCTCCAACGGCATCACCGAGATGATGTGGACGTGCTGCTGCTTGACTCTGCATCATTTCCCTCAATCGACTCTGCCTCTGGAAACGACACATCTCGCGCCATACGAATGGACTATGCTGATCCCTTCTACGCCAAGCTTGCCAAAGAAGCCATCGAGGCCTGGCAAACCGACCCCGTGTTCTTGCAGCATTTCCATCTCTCTGGACGTATCGGAGCTCAGCCTCCTGGGCACACGAATGTCGAAAAGTGCAAGCATGTCCTACGGGCCAACGAGGTAGACGTGGAGGACTTTGGAGAGGCAGACAAGGTGTCAGCTCTTCACAGCAAGTTTCCTCTCCTGGGAAATAAAGATAAGCTTCAGGGATGGGACTTCTACTACGTCAACGTGAGACTTTCTTTCCTCCACCTCTCCCTCTCGGCTCATGGTATGTACTAAATTTAATCTAGCACGCTGGGTGGGCGAACCCTAAGGAAGCTGTCATCTCAGCCATGAACGACTTTGAATCTCTCGGGGGCAAACAAATCAGCGATCCACAGTCTGGACGTGTTGTCGCCAACATCCTCTCTGGTAATCAGATCCGCGGAGTCCAGACCGCCGACGGGCAGTCACACTTTGCCGAGCATGTCATCTACGCCACAGGAGCATTCTCAACCTCCAACAAGGAACTTCTCCCCGGTCTTGGCACCCAGATACATCCCACTGGTTTTGCCATTGCGCACTGGAAACTGGATGACCCAGGAGAGCTGAGAGCTTGGGAAGGTTATCCTGCCGTAGACATCTACCATAACGGCTATTTCTTTCCTCCAGACCCCGCCACCGGTCTCATGAAGCTTGGGTTGGGAATCGTGGGGTTCACGCATGACGAGAATCCTCGATCAAGCTGGGAGGACCAATCCGACGTCGGCATTGCTCTTCGGAATAGCGATCTTGTCGGCACCAACGAGGCCGGAAAGATCCCGTCCATCGCAGAAGAGGGCATCCGTTGGATCCTGAACAGATGGGCGCCAACCCTGGCCACGAAGAAGTTCTTTGACATGAAAATATGCTGGGACGCCATGACATCCGATGGAAGCTGGTTGATTGATCATCACCCAGATATCCAGGGTCTCAGTGTTGCGACCGGAGGATCGGGCCACGGTTTCAAGTTTCTCCCTGTCGTTGGGAGCTTCATCAGCCAAACTCTTGGCCTCGGTGAGAGTAGTCGGACTGCTGGGCCCAAGCTTGAAGAGATGAGGAGCAAGTGGCGTTGGGGCCGGCCTTCAAACATGGATGTCAAGGATCGGAAGGTTGTGCTGCAAGGGCGACCTGTTTTGAATGTTACGCATCATTTGAGAGCTCAGACACCCGGGCAGATTAACGACATGGTTCGTTGCAGATTATAGAAAGAAGCAGCGACAGCTCAAGGATCAGAACCAAAGCAGACCGCATTCGACAACATCGCCAACAGCGACACAAATAGGGGCGGCCTAACCGCTACAAAATGCAACACAGCTTGATTCATATACCAAATACGTTCAAGGACTTAGTGACATAAATGCCAGAGTCTTCCCTGCCCCAAACCATCAACGGAATGTGGAAGCAGGTGGTCGACACTCTGGCAAATTGAATCAATTGTGCAACCTCGTAATGGGCAGCAATTGTAGTCGGCGAGTACCGGATCGGTTGGGACGTTACACGGGCAATGTCAAATGAGCCTGTCTCTAGCTACATAACAATAGCAGATGCACTCCTTTCGGTTCAGGCTGAATCGGTGGCCAAGCAATCCTATCAAAGGCAAAATCACAGGTTCTTCACGGCAGCCTTAGGAGAAGAAATACTGATTGTTCGGCGAGGAGACTCACAGCCGCTAGAAGCGTCAGAATGATTTGTGATGTGGCTTGCTTGGCACCCTCAGCCAAGGCACCAAGAAGTCATCGCGTCACAAGTACAAGCGGACAGTGTACGGTGATACGGCGAAGAAGTCGTGGCAGGATATTTAGCTTCTCGGGTATGTAGACTGCTGTTACTGCGCAATCAGCAGCATCGGATCAATCTTTGGCGAGCGGGAACATTGTATTGGGAGGAACCAATGCTGTGAATTGACATATACCTTTCTGCTTTCTACCACTGCCCCAGCGGACCCCATTTATCACTTGGAATTTTCCCTCACTCAGCCCGAAATGTTTTTGAGAAGGAAACGGCCCCGTTCCACGATGAAGATATCAGCGTGGCTTAGGCCACTCCTCAGCTAATCTCTCCGTTTTTTCAGGCAGAGGAAATGTGGAAGAAGCGTCGTGATGACCAGCTAGGGCTTCGATAGTAGCGTCATAGTGGTCCTCCTGTCATAGGAGCAAATTCAACAGCTTTTATGACAAAGGACCGTGGGACTGAAAAACATTCAGTCAGCGAACGCCATATTAAAAAGAAAGCAAGTAAAAATAGCTGCAAAAGAAAATCTACCATGTCTCCCAAGCGGCAGCAGGGACATATCTGGTACTGGATGCAGATTGCCTTTGCTTAGAACACTGCTGTCGTCTTGGGAGTGTAGGGTTTCCAAGTATTTCGCGGCACGCCGTTAGGAAAGGTTTCAACCTGCCAACAAATGGCCGCGTGGTGAAGACGGGCCTCGACCGCATATTTCAACATGAATTGCCCACACTCGCTGAGAAGTCGACACATTGGTCCAACAGCTGAATGGCGCAGAGGAGCGGCAGCTGCCAGGGCTTTTGGACACGCTGCACCCGCTCCAAGATGACATCAAGCTGTGATTCGTAAACAACAAGGTGAATAACCTGCACCTAAAGCGAGGCTTGTCCAACGCGAGCATTCAATTCTTGCAATCTTTGCTGGAGACCATAATCCTGCATTTGTTTGTCGTCTAAGGGGGTATCACCACGGATGCGTGGGGATCTTCTAGAGACTCGGCACATTGTCACGAGTCAGAGACCTCGCAAACGCCGCAAGGAGGGCTGAATCCACTCCCTGCAGGGATCAGTGCGAACAATGTTATTGTCGTACTCGGCGTCGATGTCGATGTCCTCGTCCACGTCAATTTCGCGGGGTAAGTGTTCTGTGTTAGACACTTTGTACCGTGCTTATTCAGAGTCGTGCCGATCACTCTGTGAGACGGGTGGGTGGTGCAGACAAAAGAAATGCTACGATCTCGATTGCTAACAGCAAAAAGCACATACAACACCGGGCATTCGCCGGTCGTCACCGACCCGACTACTACTCCAGCCCTCACTGGCTTATCTATGGGAGAGCGGACGGGATCCCGAGTTCTCCAGTGGGTATGGTCGTATGTGCTCAACAATGGAACGGAGGATACCTATATTGCATGGGTGGACTACCCACGTTGAGCTTTCGGTACTTCTCCGTCCTGGCAACATGACTCTTGTCATCTTTGACTTGGCATATGTTGTAGTTTTTGTTTTTGGATGTTGCGTATCTGTTTCTGGCTGAATCACTAACCCTCACTCGTGAAATGCATCATCTGCCCGCTTGGTGGCGAATGTTCACTCGTCTTCTTGGCTTGATTGCTTTCCTTTCCAGCAATGTCCCATTTCGGTTGCTTCACCGGTCCAACCTTCCTCGCAGGCAGCCAAATCAAGACCACCAACATCTCTGGACCATCCGTATCACCGCGCTCCTCGGGAATGATGCGAGGCTTTGACTATTCCCCAAAGTTATCGCACGTAAGCGGACTGCTTGCCAGATGGGCGCGGTCAAAGAGGCAATTGGCCAGGACGGGTGAGACACTTGGATACCTTGCTGCCAACCTCACCTGACATAAACACGCAGACGCACGCCTATGTAAAACCACACTGTTTTTCGATTATCCCTGCCACTTACTGAAATCATCTACAAGCTGTTTAGAACTATATGGATTTCTACGCGGTCATCGGTGTCTGGTTCAATCTCATAGCGCTTTTGCAGGAAACAGTTCGTACTCAGAGGGAAGGACCAATCGACCCATATCCTGCGCCTCTAATCACAGACACATATGCAGCCAAGGAGAAGAATGACCCCAGAAGCCTGCGTGCGGAATGGAACTAGTCGCAAGTCCTTCATAAGTGCTCGTTCCGCCTTCTTCTATTTGGCTTCAGGTACGCCATTCAGGCGTAGCAGGTTGTGGGAAAATGCAGGACCAGAGGCCACGCCATCATAGAGACCTTTCAATGCATCCTGGTCCAGCTAGGTGTCGGTGAAGGAACTCGAGTCCTAGAATGTCTCCGTCCCATTCTGTACAGTTCGTCAACCATGTGCTATTGTTCGGACGTACTTGTAACTTGGGTCGCAGAGGACTTCATGCAACTTCAGAGACGGCTTCGTCGCATGCGCAATAACCCCCTTAGCACCAGAAGCCTCCGCGTTCCAAATGTTCACTTACACGATTGAGGAGGTCAACTGCCGACGGAAGTGGAAGACGTCTTGAGGCCTCCAGAGCGGCCGTATCTGTGCCACAAGGAGCGTGGCACTTTCGTTGCCTTTGTCACCCATGCCATCCGGCATGTTCGAGCGATTGGACGCTACCTAGACATCAGGAGCACTCTTTCAACACTTTGTCTCGTGGCCCAAGATGGAGTGAACATACGACATTGCCAGTAATATGCAACACACAATGGAGATGCTTCATGTTCTCGAGGCTCAAGTATACCATCAGTCGGAACGCTAACTTTTAGCCGGGCCTCCGATGGACATAGTCGACAGGCGCATGTCGCTGAGTCCTCAAAGCGACTCGTTATGAAGGCCTCAGCAAACCTTAGGAGTTATGCATGTTGACAGTGACCTGGGTGTATCCCGTGATAAGGGTGAGCCTGTGTCTCGTAGCCAATGCTCTGTGGTTTGGGATGGTACTGAGTGGCGCGAGTTGTCTCGAGTGTTCAATTGGATGCAACGGCTGGAATAAGTGGCAACTTCATCGTCAAAGACTGTCCAAAGTACCGACTCCGGTTCTTCTCGTGGCAGTGTTGCTGCGAGTTTCCTTACCTTGGAAATAGCGGATAACGACATCCACCTTCTCCCTAGATTGTTGAGGACGGGCGACACAGCAGCAGCCGGACTTGAAACAGTGCTCTCGATGACAGGAACAGCCGCTTAGATTGGAGTGTCCAAAAATTCGCGTTTGGGGTTCGCTTCGACCCCAAGGGAGGCCGGCTTGTGGTCAAGGTTTTTCTGATTGATGTCGTCTTGGACGAGTGGCAGTCAAGGAGGCCGCGACGTATGATTAGCCACTGGAATTGCAAAACTTGCAAGCATGCCACAAACCATCTGATAGGGGCAGAAAAGAAATAGATGGAGGAAATAGGAATGTCCCAGGCGTCTGATTATGGGAGGCAATGCTGAAAGGGAAGGCTGAATGAATGCGTCTGTCGCTCTCCATTTGAGGTAGGTAGCGAGGCAGTGATCGTTTCCTACTGAGGCTGCAGAGGCACCCGTACCACCTTGAGCTGGATGGTACTGGGTGGCTCTTCACCGTCGATACGTTCCATGCACGTTTGAACGTTCTCGGGGCTTTGAGCGGCTCGGTCAGTATGAGTAATGTTAGTGTCCCGGCGGATGATGTTGTGCATTGATGCAATCCGTGGATGGGTTGGACTGGTGGAGGTGCAAGAATGTGTCGTATTGACAGTGTTGCGACTGACTTGAGCTCCGTGCCGATTTTTAGCGGGGTGAATCGGCACAGAGCTACTGTAGCTACAGCGGTCTGGGCGCTGTGGTGGCGGCCACGCCATGCATAGGCAGACTGCACCTGCCCATTCAATCGCTAAGGCACATTTCGGTAGTTGGCCGCTGTAGCTCCAGCGAGCAGGCCACCTACCTTACAGACCCGCACCACCTACGTGTGACGGACGTCAACGAACACTCCGAACCCCAGCTCCGTGACGGGAAAATGCAATTCACCAGGAATGACTTCTGACTACCTACCTAAGCCAAGCAGTCCCCCGTACCATCTTTATCGGATGGGATAGCCTTTTATTGGCTGGCTGACCCTAGTTGGCCCCAGCACATGGTGGTTATCAACCAACTCGATCGCGTTTTCGGGCTCTCCGTCAGGGCTTCCTGCGATGTATTCGTCTGGCCATACCATCAACTCATCGTCTTGACGGCTTATCATACATGTACCCATCCCCGTGTGAACGCCGGCCTTATCCTTTGGTCTCACAAAACGCTATCAAAAACCCTTCGTTACTGGCAATGGCGCCTTTTGCGGACGGGAGGCCTTGTCCCGCGAGATATGACAGCGACAAACGCTTGTCCTTTTCCGACATCAGGACATCCCCGGTGTCAATGCTATAAAACTCCGATGCGAGCCTCATCCACTTTTTCTGTTTGTCGGTGTGCCAGGCTGCGGGGGTCCGAACGAATCGCTCCTCTGTGTCGG